ACTCCAAGTGGAGCTGGAGTCAGAAGAGCCCATGCAGCAGCAGGACGGGGACCATCAAGTGCCACAGGACAGGGTGCAAGGGCAGGGGGTGGGAGCTGGATACCGCCTCGCTCAGGATCTCTGTGTGAGCCCTCCGCTATGGGGTGCTCTGCAGCACAGCATCTGGAAAAAAAAAGAGAGCAGGAGGATGGAGATCAGCCCAGGATCCTCATCCTTACTGGGACTTCTGGCTGCAAGGGACATACCAGGACATGGGCAGCTCCTCACAGAGCCCCACTTGAACCTCCTTCCCCAGGGGCAGAAAGAGAAACCAGGTTGGAGTGGCTCTTGGGGGAACCCTGCAGCATCACCCACCTGCAGGATCAGCACTTCCTTCCCATGGAAGAAGTTCCCATGGAGGGAAGTCTCCGGCCAGGTAGGAAACTACTGGGGACAAGTCTGGACAGGTGGGGAAGAAGAGGCCTGCCCTCTGCCAAGGACTTGATGTGCTAGTGCTGCTTGGGAGCACAAGAGTCAGGCAGGTCAGACCAGTCCCAGGGGCTCAGGCCTATCATCACCCCTTTGGGCAACAGCAACAAAACCTCCCAGCGCTGGCCAAGACAACCTGTCCCGGCCACGTGCACTGAATGAGGCAGGGCTGGTGCCCTACCTGTCAGTCCCATGGTGGCACTAACCCCATGAACCTGGCCTAGCATCACTCTGCCAGCTTAGACTGGGCACCTCCACCACCTCACTCAGCAGCTGGGTGGTACCAGTGTCACCATCCACTCACTCCTGCCTGCCCCAAGGGCCTGACCTTCTCCATGCTGCGTGGTACCATGCTTTTGATTTTCAGCCCAGTTTGAGAGATGTGGGAATCCTGTCCACGAGTTTGGGTTTGTTTTCCAGCAGGATAAATACTGAAATGGCTGCAAGAGCTCAGAAGATGCAGGAAAAGTCACCAGCAGACTGAGGACAAAATGCCCATGCCTAGTAGCTCTGCCTGATCTTGTAGAACAAGGGCTTAAGGACAGGTGAGCAGTAAGGAAATTGGTTCTTCAAGTAGATCAAGGCTATTTGGAGAGCAAGGCTGCACATGGTATTTTGACCCTGCCATGATGAGGACAGAAAACTGGCTGGTCAGGGTGGTTGAGCCAAGGAGTTTTATCCAAAAGGAGTGATAAAAGGTGTAACCATGCACCAGGGTATGCTGGGGGCTGACTGGTTGAAAAGCAGCTCAGCAGACAAGGCCCTGGGGGTCCTGGTGGACACCAAGTTGACCATGATACAACAATGTGCCCTTGCAGCAAAGAACAGTGTCCAGGGCTGGACTAGGCACAGAATTGCCAGCAGGTTGTGGGAATTATCTTTCCTCTCTGCTCAGCACTGGTGAGGCACAACTGAGAGAGTGCAGCAAAGGGACACTAAGGAAAATGAAGGGACTGGAGCATCTGTCCTAAGAGGAAAAGCTGTGAAAGCTGGGACTCTTCAGCCTGGAGAAGAGAAGGCTCAGGAGAATCTTATCAATGTATATAAGAGGTTCCCTCTGAACACCAGGAAACACTTTTCTTTTTCACTGTGAAGGTGACTGAGAACTGGAACCAGTGACCTAGCGAGGTTGTGGATGCTTCATCCTTGGAGATATTCAAAAGTCACCTGGATGAGATGCTGGGCAATGGCTCTAGGTGGCCCTGCTTGAGCAGCAGGGTTGGATCAGATAACCCTCAGAACTCCCTGCCAGCTTCAACCCTTCTGTGTAGCCCACAACACTGCAGCGTGGCGTGTTGTGGCTGTCCCCCACACTCACCCCTCTGCAGCAGAACCCCACTTTGCTCCGGATTAACTTCCCCGTCCTGCAGCAGGCGGTTGTTGGCACAACTAGCTGAAGACACCTGCCAGCCAGGCACCCCCCAGAAGCGGCATGGCTGGCGTGGAATGGCTCCCACCATCACGGTGAGCCTCCGAACGTCTGCAATGTCCTCTCCAGCTCTTCAGTTTCCACAGTGTCTCTGAGGGGAATGAAAGTGATAGATGCAAGGCTGGGGTGATTCAGATGCTTTCCAGGAGGAGGGCAGGAGGGTACTGCCTGCCTGTGGGGTCACACAGCCAGAGAAGGCAGCATTTAGGCTCAGCTTTTCCCAGACTCCCAAACCAAAGGCCACATGTATCTCAGCCATCTCATTTCCATTTATACCACAAATACTTTAAGCTAACCTGTGAACTCTCAAACCTGGCTTGTATTCTACATACCTTTTGCATGCCTTCCTATATGAAATCCTTTGCATATGAACAGATTCCTATTTCTATCTGGTGCCCATTTCATGCCTTGCTTTCCAGGCCACATGCAGCAAACTCTCAGCCTCTGATTAGCTCCTGGTCTCATGTTCACCTCCTCCTCCTTCCACCCACAGCACAGTGCACTTTCTGGCCCTACAGATAAGGAGAAGAGCTTGGAATTGTTTTCTTCCAATAAGAGATGCCTGTCAGGGAAGGCAGAAGCAAAGAGCCTGACAGTCCTGAGCCATGATGGCCCCCCACTAGGTTTCCCCAGCGCAAAGACAGCAGTCCCTTCATGTGCATAGCACTCACCTGCTCAGATGTGCCCTTGATGCATAACGGAGATTTGCAAATCAACATAGCTTCCCTGCAGTCATAATCCACTGGCACCGCAGCTTTGATGCCTGGAAGAGGCATCCTCTCCATGGAGGAGAGTTAGCTCAGGAAGTAGCTCATGGGGCAACACCTTCAGGAGCCCCTGGACACCTCCAACCTCAGCCCCTCTGTGGCAGGGGCAGCCCATGGGCTTTGCCAGCCCAGGAACCTCCAGATGAAGGAGGAAACAGTGCCTATCCCTCCAGACCATGCCCTCCCCACCTCCCTCCCCATGCAGCCCTCAAATGGGGGCTCACTGCAGCAGCTGTCCAGAGGGAAGTCACCATCCTGACATCCCAAGGCAGCAGTGAGTACTGCTCTGAAGGCTGGAAACAGCAGGGCCGGGGATATGATAAAAAATTCCGAATGGATGCTCAGAGGCACCAACACACAAGCACAAACCCCTTCTGGCACCCTGGTGTGGCAAGTTCTGCATCCCACCAGCCTGCAGGAGGGAAGCCAGCTTCAGCAGGTCACTCACTCTCCTTGCTGCCTGACCTCAGCTGACCCAGGAAACAGTTCTTTCATTCCATTTACAATAAGATTTGTAATTACAGGCTTTTGCAGCCAACCCCTGAGAGTCAGGAAAGCTCAAAAGCCACCACCAGCAGTGCTGGCAAAGGGCACTGCCAGCGACCAGCCAGAACAGAGATACAATATACCAGCACCCAAGGAGCATTTGCAGTGGGATGAATGCTGTAGTGTAACATACCTTGGGTCCAAAACCTCAACAAAAGCTTTTGTACAGATCAGCTCCTCCTAGCACCCACATAAGGCCTGTACCAAAGCAGGTAGGAAAGTATGTGAATGCCCACAGTTGTGGGCGGATGCCAAGGTGGCAGCGTGCTGTGCTCTGCCTTCCTGGAAGGCTGCTGCTTCCCTCCTTCATCCCTGGGGGAGACTTGTACCTGACTTGTGTGCCACAGTCAATGACTGTGTAACAAAATCAGCAACCAACAGCAAGAATCAGCATGGTGCAGTGGGAGAAAGTGTGTGTCCGTGCCAGAACAAATACACAATTTCATCTGCATCCTTTCTTTGTCCTTCCCATGTCCCTCTGAAGTCACAGTTATCGGCTCCCAGAACCTCTGGATACCCCATGTGCCAAGCCTAGGGTTTGGCCCCTCCTAAGCTGAAGTGATGTTGATTTTGCCAGTGTTTCAGCCTGTGCTGATGCTCTGACCCTAAAACTGGAATTACGGGGCTTTGCCTGTGGGGGGAAGCCCAGCCAGAGCTCCTCCCACTCTCTGCCCTGCTCCTGCCATGCTCCCAGGCCCCCTCAATGCTCAGAAGATAGGAGGGGCCCTGTGCTTTTACCAGCGTCTCCCAGCACCTAGATCTGTAGCTATGCCAGGCACAGCTCTCCTCTATTTCTTTGCCTGGGGAAGAGCACTATGCTTCAACAGCCAAGAAATACCCAGTGCCAAAGGACCTGCACGGAAGAAGCAATTCCCAGACACCGGGGCAGAGTCATTGCATTTCCTGGGGACACCAGCCACCAGACCCTGAGATGGAATGACACAGCCAGGCCTGGCAGGGGTGCGTCAGGGATTTGGCTTACCTGCTGGTTCCATTCATATTAGCACATCCAAGGGGAACCCAAGATTAACAGACCATGGTCTTAGTCTGGTGGCAACAGAGCAGGATGGCAGGTGAGGAAGGGTCCGTGGCTGGGCAATGCAGCAGCTGTACCACACGCTGGGCTATAGCCTAAAAAAAGGATCTGTTGCTGTTTAAGCTGCACTGTGCTGGCCAGAAAGGAAGCAAGATGGATGCAGGACAGCTCTGCTAGCCAGAAAGGTATCTGTTGTGGGGCAGGACCAGCCAGAGCCCTTCAAAAGGGGAGCCTGGCAGGGCTCGCACTGCAACACTAGTGCAAGAAAGAGAGTGGGAGTTGTGCCCAAAAGGCCCATGCTCATCCAGTTGGGATCCATGTGGCTTCCCAGAGCAGCACTGTCAGCCAAGGGGACACATGGCCAGTGGACAAGTCTTTGGCCTGGGCACTGCTGCCCAGGGCAGAGTGCCATGCTGGGGGCTGGCAGGGCCAAGAGGGGTCCTTGCACCTTCTAGACCATAAAAAACCACAGACCAACCCCTAAGGGGCTTTTGCTGCCTTCCTCTCTCCCGCTCCCTCTCCTGAGAAGTGCTAAGGAGACATTTGCAGCCTCACTGGAGGTGAAGAAGGAACCACACAGCCAGGAAGGAGAAGAGCTGTCATTACAAGAGGGCAAATAACCATCCTCAGAATGAGCGGAACACAAGGAAAGAGAAGGAGCAACATAAACTGCTGGAAATAGGCTGTTTAGTGGATAAATCGCAGCTCTGTTGGTCCTATCTAAAC